AGTACTAATAGTAGTTGTAGTAGTCGTAGTAGTAGTAGCAGTAGTCCTAGTAGTAATTGTAGTCGTTGTAGTATGTGTTCTTATTGTAGTAGTTGTAGTAGTGGTAGTCGTAGTAGTTGCAGTAGTAGTAGTAGTTGTAGTGGTGGTTGTAGTAGTTGTAGTAGTAGCAACAGTAGTGTCTGTAGTAATAGTAGTAATTGAGGTAGTTGTAGTAATAGTAGCTGTAGCTGTAGTAGTTGTTGTAGTAGTAGTTGAAGTTTCAGTAGTAACAGAAGTTGTGTTAGTAGTAGTAGATAGTAGTTGTAGTAGTTGTAAGTTTCAATAGTTGTATTAATAGTAGTAGTAGTAGTAGTAGTGATAGTAGTAGTTGCAGTAGTAGTAGTAGTTGTTATTACTGTCACACTTCTTTATAAAGTTTTGGCTTTATTCATGAACCTGTAAAAAATAAAAATAAAAAAAACATGCAGCTTGTTTTGAATTTTTCGCCAATCGAGTTTCAGCCTCATGTGATTTTGACAAAGTAATGAACAGTTTGTACAATTCCCTTTTCCCACCAAGATAATTAGATCCTGTTTAATATCTGATTAAAAATTAGAATCACCAGTTTAGTTTAACGACAAAAACAAGAATTTGATTGACAGAAATTAATGTTTAAATGATTAAATCTAAAACAAACTATTTGCAGTCAGTTCTGAAAACGTCCCTTCGCAGCCACTGTATTTCAAAGCTTTTCCTTCACTCACGGCTAAAAAAGTCCACAGCCGAGATGAGGGATTTGAAGAAAAAAAAATGCTGGTAGTTTGTAAAAATGTCCTTTAGCAGCCACCGTACTTCATTGCTTTTTCCCCGTATCGTATTTATAGTCCAGTGTACGAATTCTGTTTAACTCTGTTTGCTCTGAGTTCAGTTGCCGAGAAGTTCAGAATTGGACTCCAGCTGATTTCAATTCTTGGTTCATTCATTTGACCTAAAAATTGGAACGTAAATTGTCCTTTTGCAGCCGCCGTCCTCCATTTCTTCCGTGGTCTACAGCCTTTACAGTGCAGCTGGTTGGTTGGAGTGAAAATCTCACAATATTGAACTGGGAGTGACTGGAAACGTCCGTGTACCATTCGTACTTTTGAATTTCATTTAAAGGTTGTATAGAGGATTTTCCAAGGAACGAGAAATCCAGCGACTGTTTGTCCTTTTTCAAATGTTGCGCATGTGTGAAACCCCCCCCCTCCCCTACAGCTCCTACGTAGAAACGCCTCCTCCCTCCTCCTCCTTACGCCAGAAACAGGTTTGTTTACAGCCGGTGCTGCACATGACTTGTAAACAACTAACTACAGTGTTGGTTAGGCAAGACGGAGAAGTGAGGAGCGGGGGAGGGGGGGGCGCGGAGATTTCGTGCGCGGACAAGAAGTGAGAAGCAGGGAGAAGAACGGAGCGGGGAGTGAGGAGGGAGAGAGGAGAGGGAGAGGGGAGGAGAGAGGAGTGGTGCGTGGAGATTCCGTGAGGAGCAGGGAGAAGAGCGGAACGGGCAGAGAGGGGCGCAGAGATTCCGTGCGAATGAACTAGCTACTACTACAACACGCAGCAGCAAGCGGACTCTTTCTTTACCTTGAAAATTAAGTTTTCAGACATAGGATATCGCATTCGTGTCCTGAAAAACGTTTGTGGAGCTCTTGGAAATAAAGTACGTTTTCATAATAAGCAGAAGTTTCCTGTCCAGGAGTAATTTGTGGACCAGTGCGTCAGTCTTTAGACCCTGCGTCTGCTTCAGTCGCGCCATCGCTGGAATGAATCTTCAAGAATCACCTTAGTTTGGTTTCGCTGCTTTTCCCCTTGTCTTCTTCTTTCAGCGACCTCAAAAACGGACTTTGTTTTGGGGCGAACTGCTCCTGGATTCTTGTCGCCATTGTAAAAGCCGCTAAGAACTGTTGCGTTGGTGGAGTAAACAGCGTCTGTGCGTCTTGCGTCTGTGGACTGCGTGACAGTCGTACGTAAACCACGTAACGGCGGCGCAGGCAAGTCAGTTACACTAGAAACGTAGGGAGATTGATTGACAGCCTGTCAGCTCACAGATAACGAGGCAGTGTCGTTATCTATTGGCAAATGTTTAGCCCCACCACGTCCAGAGTTGATGAATTTTTATTCTCTTTTTTTTGGTCATCATAATTACAAGGCTACTGCACCTCTATAATCTATCATTGACAATTTGAAACAAAAAAAATCCTCCATACAACCTTTAAGAACGAAAAACTATGTGTCAGTCGCCCAGGTAGAATCCATGGCAAGTGAGAAATCCAAATAAACAAAAGTTTATTTGATCGAAGCTGCAACAACTGAAGAAGCAGCTTGGATGAGCAGCAAAACGTAATCAACCAAATACACCTTTTTTTTTTTTTTTTCGGTTAACAATTAGAATTTCTTTGTTGAAGTTTGTTATTTCATTTTCTGTTTTAGTGTCAAACAAAAAAAGATTTCGACCTCTATTTCCAATATTTGATTTAAAGTTTATTTCATGTAACACCAACCAAAATACAGTCATCGTCCCTATTTCAGTTTAGATATTTAATTCTCTAGTTTATTTGGCTCGGACGTTAGAATGCTGCGTGTTAATATATATAACATATTGTGCTGAATAAGTAATATTTGATTAACTAAATGCCTTTTACCATTGTACATGTATCTATACGTATCTGTAACTTTGTGCACTAATAAATGGATAATGGATTATGTTTTATAGGCATCTAACTGTTCTCTATCTAAGGCTCGCCAGGGCTCTTATTTTTACTAAATTTCTTATGACTGCTAAATTTAGTAGCTCTCTGGCATTTTCATTTTGTAAAAGTAGCTCACCGGAGGAAAAAGGTGGAGACCCCAGGTTATCCCTAGTTATCCGGGACAATCCCAGTTTTGCGCCCTGTGTCCCCTGTCCCAGCGGCTTTATAGAAAAAGAGTGATTTGAAATGTCCCAGGTGTCCCTATTCTTGACCAATTTGATTAAAACCAGGACTAAACTAAGATTAAACAGGACTAAAACAGAACTATCACAGTTTTTGACTAGTCTGATCCCCACCAACAGTAAAGAGGAGCATAAATTGTCATGTGTTTTGCCAAAAATACAGAAAACCGTATTTGTAAATGACCATAAAGTAAAGAAATGTAGTAACAGAGGTCCCTCCGATTATGATTGCACAATGTTACATGGTCTTTTCACAATTTTATTTAAACCAACCATCCCAACCTGAGTGTGTCCCAGTTTAGAATTTTGAAAATCTGGTCACACTAATTCAATGTCAAAGGAGAGTTTATCGCTGCTTCTTGTTTCTCGTCCTGGAGATCAACAATGACTTTCTAAGACGCAAAAGTGAACACGTCACTGTAAAAGAAGACAACATGTTTGTCCACAAAACTGCAGTGATTTTTCAGGTAAGTTCTTCTAGCAGCAGAACTTCAGGGGCAAATAAACTCGAGAGAATAAAATATCAAAATTAAAATAGACAGAGAGTTTTATGACTGGTGTAATTCGAAATAAACTTTAAATTAAATATTGGAAATAGAGGTCGAAATAAATGTTTTGTTTCACACTAAAATAGAAAAATTAAATAAACTGTTTTCCCATTTTATTGTTTTTCGTTCTTAACTGAAATCCAAAAGAACGAATGGTACATGGACCTGAAAAGTTGCCAGTTCAATCTCGCCAGCTACTAACACCGTTGCTGCGTCAATGACAGTTCACCAACAATGTCTAATTATGTTGTATTTGTGTGAATAAATACGGTTTTATCCATAAAATTGGTCATTTAGTTAAATCGCACCAATCCTAACTGTATCTTTTGACCAATTCTGAGATATCGGTTCATAACATGGACTTTCCCAGCCACTGCACTTTTGTTTCTTTTATTTGGCCATGGAAATTGTCAAATAAATTGTCCTTTTCCAGCCACCATACTTCTATCTTCTTCGTAAACTTGTTGGATGGAACAAGATCGGTTAGAATATGTAGTTATTTGACCAAAATAGCAGTAAAAATGAACCTTCAGAGCCACGGTCCCTGAATCGTTCTTGGTCCACACAGGTTTGACTCTTGTTTCATTCATTTGACCACAGAAATCATCAAATAAATTGTCCTTTTGTGGCTACCGTACTTGTGTCTTCTTCGTGAACTGGTCAGAATCTGTAGCCAACCAAGAGTTTGATTGGTTAGTCCACAACAATCCATCGCTACTCAGTTGGCGTATTTGTAAATTGGTCTTTCAGAGCCACTGTACTCGAGTCATTCTTGGTCCACGTCGATCTGTAGTCCAACCAAACCAACCAAAGTACATCGACTCTTGTTTAAAGTCAAATTGTCCTTTTGCGGCCGCCATATTGGACAGACCAGAACGATCCGTAACAGTTTCACGAAGCTAACAGTTGACGTTTTTGTTAATTGAACTTCCAGAGCCACCGTACTCCAGTCATTCTTGGTCCACGTCGATTTGTAGTCCAAACAAAGTACATCGACTTTTGCAGCTGCCATATTGGATAGACCTTTCAGAGCCACTGTACTTGAGTTATTCTTGGTACACGTCGATCTGTAGGCCAACAAAAGTCAAATCAACTGTCCTTTTTCAGCCACCGTACCAGTTAGAAAAGACCACACCAGTCCATCGCTACTGTTGACAAAGCTGACAGTTGGTATATTTGCAAATTGGACTTTCAGAGCCACCGTACTTGGACTACCGATTTGTAGTCCAACCAAAGTACAACGATTTTCTGTTTAAAGTCAAATAAATTGTCCTTTTTCAGCTACCATACCGGTTAGAAGAAGATCACACCGATTCTTCGCAGTTAACAGTTGGCGTTTTTGTAAATTAGACTTTCAGAGCCACAGTCAAACAAAAGTAGAAACCGACCCTTGCGTAGGGACTTCGGCAGCCACCGTACTTGCCCCAATCCCAGTACAGCTTAAACAAGAGCTTTACAGTCAAACAAAAAGAGAAACCAAGCCTTGTTTAGTTTTCTTTCGCTCATTTGACCAAAGAGGAACTATTCGCCGGTAGCTCCGTTTGTATCGTGTTTATCTTTTCTCCCAGAATCCTCTTGGAGGTCTCCCCTTGCGACAACATCAGCGGATTGTTGTCGTTGGAGTTTTGCTTGGAGGTGCTCGCCGACTCGATGAAGGCTTCCCGGCTTTGGGGTTTGATGAACTGGACGCTGAGTTTGGGCACGACCGCGGCGCCGCCCTGCTGGTGGTGGCCGGGTTTGCGGAGGCAGTGGGACAGGGTGGAGACGCAGCTCTTCTTGAAGTTTTCGTTCATGAAGGCGTACACGATGGGGTTGTTGAAGCTGTTGAAGAAGCCGATGGCCTGGACCACGGCCACGATCATGTTCACAGTCACGCCGTCGTATTTGTTCTCCAGGTCGTCTGAGAGAAAGAAGAAGAAAAAATATAAACAATTAAAGGACCACATTACGCTATTTTCTGATCTGTGTTATATATGGAGTAAGAAAGTTTTCAGAAATATTTGTGTGCATAGGATCGAAATCTGTGCATATTTGTCTGTAGCTGAGCATAAAATAAATATTCGTAAACTCTCGAATGAGTCCAGTCGTACATAAAATGTGTTTTGTGTATTTTATCCATCAGAATACGAATTGAAAAGTTACAACGTCAAGAATTAAAATCACGAAATGAAAATGTACGATTACGCTTTCTTCAGTACGAATACGAATTCACAGATGCGACTCGACTGTCAAAAATACGACATCAATTCACAGGCAGAAGAAACATCGATCGAGATGCTGGACTTTTGCTCCGCATACAGACTGAACCAGGACTGAACCAGGACTGAACCAGGACTGAAACCAGGAGTTAACCAGGACTAAAACAGGGAGAGAGTTTACAAATATTTATTTTATGCTCAACTACAGCCAAATATGCATGGATTTCTACCTGCACACGAATATTTCTGAAAACTTTCTTACTCCATAGTTCTAATGTTGTTTCCTCGTCACAAACAGACCTAGAGTTGTGTTTTGTTTCATTCACACATGTTTAACACAAACCTGCATATTTAGGCTCAGTTCTTCTCTCAAACTGAAAACTTTGTTCTACCTTGTGATGTCGTGTGGTAATACAGGAAGTGCTCCACTATGTTTTTAAACTCCATACCAGGCATGTATTAAAATAACTGGAGGCTGTTGCTGCTTGTAGTTGTCTCCAGTTGACATAGTGACACTCACTGGTACTTGGCTGACAGGACACCTACAACTTTCAAAAATGTCAGATTTTGTGGTGATTTTTTCCTATTTTTAGATCATAAACTTTTTCTCAGCTCAAAATCCTTCAGTTGTCTTTAAAAAAGCTTTATAAACGTAAGCTCCGCTCCGCTCTGTTCTAGCTCCTCTCGCTCTGATTGGTCAAAGCGATCCCTGCACATGCTCGTGTGAGAAAAGAGCTCTACTGTGCATGTTCATGTTCAGGTCTGTTTTTGAGGAGGTAACAACATTATAACACGACTAAAAGCTCATAAGAGTCAATTTTGTGTAATATAGGACCTTTAAATACTACAAATAAAAGCACTATTTAAAGGTGTGCTGAGTAACTTTTCTGATGGAGGGTTTGTCACGTAGCCAGGCTGGAGTCACCTAGTGCCTCCATTTAATTTAATTTCTCTCCAGCGACTAAGTCAGGAATCAGAATACAATAGACGGTTCACAAAAACCCCGGAAGTGCGAGTTCGGGCACCAGCCAATCAGCGAAGAGCCAAACATTCTGTGTTGGCAACGATTCCCGAGATCGAGGATTTAAAACTGGAACAATGAGAATGTTTGTTGAATTTTATCAAGGGGAAAGTCGTTATTGTCCTTCTTCCTACGGGATTTGGGAAAAGCTTAATATATCAGTTAGCCCTGTTAGCGGCGCTTTACATACGTCACGACTAAATATCAAGGATTGGTTAAATGATAAAAAGTACCCGCCTACCGTCGAGCGAACGACTCCTAATGCTGCGAGGTCAGACGGTTTCCATGAAGTGAAACCGGCTGATGAATCAGGCATCTGTCACCCGCTTGTTCCTTTGGATACGTCAGTGCTCTGCCTGGAATGTTCCACAGTGTGACATTACTTTACATTTACTCAATTCCAGGTGGTTTTAAAGCTCAAAAATACCTTTAAAAAACACTTATTCTGACTGTGAGCGGCGTCGCCTCTCCACAGATCTGACCTGTAACTTGGCATGGTTTGGTTTTCCGTGAAGATAGAAAGGATTAATGCCACACTGTGAGAACATCGCTAAGGAAAAGGAAAAGAAAAGAAGCGTTCGACGGACCCTCCGACAGAGAAGTTCCACAGTGCGGCTTTACTTGAGCCGACACTGACGTTGTTTACTGTCGTTCCGAGCGTTTTGAATTGATTTGTACAATAATACGGCGTTTGCATATGCGGGACGTGTCTCTGTACAACTGCGAGGACTCGAAGCAGTGGGCGACTTGTGAGTTTTGATTGTCAACAGAAGCGACGGCGGCGCAAAAAGATCTGTTTGGATGAATCAGCGAGGGTCAGGAAAACAACACTGTACCTGGAAGAAAATACATGCGCTGAAAGAGAGATGAAGATGTGCAGGAGAAACAGATAGAGGGAGGGAGAAGTGGAGGAGACAGATGGATAATTGGAGGGAGAGAGAGAGGGAGAGTCGCTCGGGCTGATGGATGATAGAGAGAGAGATGGACGGAGAGATTGAATGAGAGTGCGGCTGATTTAGAGTTAGAATAGAAAATAAAAGAGAGACTGAGTTATATAGATTGGACAGACGGACAGAAAGAGAGGGAGAGAGAAAGAGAGACTTGGATGGATGAATGAAGAGGTAGAGAGAGAGAAATTGAATGAGAGTATGAGTGATAGTAAGAATAGAAAAGAAAAGAGAGAGAGGGAGTTATATAGACTGGAAAGATGGACAGAAAGAGAGGGAGAGAGAAAGAGAGACTTGGATGGATAGATGAAGAGGTAGAGACAGAGGGATGGACAATTTGATGGAGCGAAAAAGAGAGGCAAGTACTTGGATAGTTAGAGGAGAAAAGAGAGAGAGGGAGATCGCTCGGGTTGATGGATGATAGAGAGAGAGATGGACGGAGAGATTGAATGAGAGTGCGACTGATTTAGAGTTAGAATAGAAAATAAAAGAGAGACTGAGTTATATAGATTGGACAGACGGACAGAAAGAGAGGGAGAGAGAAAGAAAGACTTGGATGGATGAATGAAGAGGTAGAGAGAGAGATTGATGGAGAGAAGAAGAGGCAGGTGCTTGGCAAGAGAGATGGAAAGATGTGAGTTTGAACTTACTGTAGGGAGAAGAGAGAAAAGAGAGAGAGAGGGGGAGAGAGATATACAGTATAGAGAGAGAGAGACTCTTGGAAGGATGGATGAAGAGAGAGAGGCAGAGAGATGGACTGACTGATGGAGAAGAAGAGACAATTGCTTGAAAGAGATGGAAAGATTTGAGCTTGAACTTACTGTAGGAAAGAGAAATAGAGAGAGAGAGAAATACAGTATAGAGAGAGACTTGGAAGAGGTAGAGAGAGAAAGAGACTTGGAGGGATGGGTGAAGAGGTAGAGAGAGAGAGATGGACAGATTGATGGGGAGAAGAAGAGACAGTTGCTTGAAATATGGAAAGATATGACTGTAGGAAAGAGAAAGAGAGAGAAATAGAGAGAGCGAAAGAGAGAGAGATGAATGGATTTGATGGAGAGAAGAAGAGGCAGGTGCTTGGCAAGAGAGATGGAAAGATGTGAGTTTGAACTTACTGTAGGGAGAAGAGAGAGAGAGATAGATTCAGTAGAGAGAGAGAGACTTGGATGGATGGAGAGGTGTATATATAAAGAGAGAGAGATGGACAGACTGACGGAGAGAAGAAGAGACACTTGCTTGGCTAGAAAGATGGAAAGATATGAGTTTGAACTTACTGTAGGAAGAAGAGTGAAAGAGAGAGGGACAGATAGATAGAGAGAGGGAGAGAGAAAACCTGGATAGATGGAAAAGTATATATAGAGAGAAAGATAGACCCTTTGATGGAGAGAAAAACAGGCAGATACTTGGATAGAGAGAAAGATGTGAGTTTGAACTTGCGTGAGGAAGAGGAGAGACAGAGACTTGGATGGATGGAGAGATAGAAGTGTGAATTTGAGCTTACAGTAGAGAAGAGAGACAGAGAGAGAGAGAGAGTTGAAGGATGAAGAGTATAGAGAGAAAAAGAGAGGCAGGTACTTGGATAGTTTGAAATGAAAAGAGAGAGAGGGAGTTATATAGACTGGACAGATGGACAGAAAGAGAAAGAGAGAAAAGAGACTTGGATGGATGGAGGAAGAGAGAGAGAGAGAGAGAGATGGACAGATTGATGGAGAGAAGACACAATTGCTTGAAAGAGATGGAAATATGTGAGTTTGAACTTACTGTAGGAAGAAGAGTGAAAGAGAGGGGGACCGATAGAGAAAGGGAGAGAGAACTTGGGATGGAAAGGTATAGAGAGAGAAAGATGGACAGCTTGATGGAGAAAAAAAAGAGAGGAAGGTGTGTGGATAGTTAGAATAGAAAAAAAAGAGGGAGTTATATAGATTGGACAAAAAGAGACAAAAGAGAGAGACTTGGATGGATGGATGAAGAGGTAGAGAGAGAGAGAGACGGACAGATTGATGGAGAGAAGAGGAAGGCAGTTGCTTGAAAGAGATGGAGAGATGTGAGTTTAAACATTACTGTAGGAAAAAGAGAGAGAGAGAGATACAGTGCAGAGAGAGAGAGAGACTTGGATGGATGGATGAAGAGGTAGAGAGACATCGAGAGAGAGAGACAGAGGGAGAGATGCGCAGATTTATGGAGAGAAGAGACAGATGCTTGAAAGAAATGGAAAGATTTTAGTTACTGTAGGAAAAAGAGAGAGAGATAGATGGATGGATAGATAGAGAGAGAGAGAGAGAGACTTGGATGGTTGGATGAAGAGGTAAAGAGAGAGAGAGAGAGGGGATGGACAGATTGATGGAGAGAAGAAGAGGCAGGTGCTCGGATAGAGAGATTGCCGTTTGAACTTTCTGAGATAGATAGAATAAATGGATGAATAGACGGGTGAAGAGGTATAGAGACAAAAAGATGGAGAGAATGGAGAGAAGAAGCAGCATGTGCTTAAAGGTTGTATGGAGGATTTTTTTTGTTTCAAATTGTCAATGATAGATTATAGATGCAGTCGCCTTGTAATTATGATGACCAAAAAAAGAGAATAAAAATTCATCAACTCTGGACGTGGTGGGGCTAAACATTTGCCAATAGATAACGACACTGCCTCGTTATCTGTGAGCTGACAGGCTGTCAATCAAACTCCCTACGTTTCTAGCGTAACTGACTTGCCTGCGCCGCCGGTACGTGGTTTACGTACGACTGTCACGCAGTCCACAGACGCAAGACGCACAGACGCTGTTTACTCCACCAACGCAACAGTTCTTAGCGGCTTTTTTGACCTATATCTTCCTCGCAGTTCGCACAAAGTTTGTTGCAATGGCGACAAGAATCCAGGAGCAGTTACCGCAAAAGAAAGTCCGTTTTTGAGGTCGCTGAAAGAAGAAGACAAGGGGAAAAGCAGCGAAGCCAAACTAAGGTGATTCTTGGAGATTCATTCCAGCGATGGCGCGAACTGAAGCAGACGCAGGGTCTAAAGACTGACGCACTGGTCCACAAATTACTCCTGGACAGGAAACTTCTGCTTATTATGAAAACGTACTTTATTTCCAAGAGCTACACAAACGTTTTTCAGGACACAAATGCGATATCCTATGTCTGAAAACGTAATTTTCAAGGCAAAGAAAGAGTCCGCTTGCTGCTGCGTGTTGTAGCTAGTTCATTCGCACGGAATCTCCGCACACCCTTCTCTGCACCCCTTTCCTGCTCCTCTCCCCGCTGCCCGATCCGCTCTTCCCCCTGCTCTTCACTTCTTCTCCTTGCACGAAATGTCCGCGCACCCGCTCCCCCCCTCCTCACTTCTCCGTCTTGCCTAACCAACACTGTAGTTAGTTGTTTACAAGTCATGCGGCTGTAAACAAACCTGTTTCTGGCGTAAGGAGGAGGAGGGAGGAGGCGTTTCTACGTAGGAGCTGTGGGGGAGGGGGGGTGGTTTCACGCATGCGCAACATTTGAAAAAGGACAAACAGTCGCTGGATTTCTCGTTCCTTGGAAAATCCTCTATACAACCTTTAAATAGAGAGATGGAAAAATGTGAATTTGAACTTACTGTAGAAAGAAGAGAGAGAAAGAGGGATAGATACATGGATAGATAACTTGGATGGATGGATAGAGATGGAAAGAAGTGAGTTTGAGAGAGTTTGCGGAGGAGGAAAGACGACAGACGCGTGGGTGGACAGATGCGCAGAAAGAGTTTGAACTTCGCTGTAACGGGAGCGATAGATCGAGAGACGGAGAGATGGAGAGACGAGAGAAAGAGCTTGAGCTGAAGAGTGTGAATGGACGAGGGCGAGGAAAGAGTGACCTAGACTGGAGAGATAGACGGAGTGAGAGACGGAAAGAAATGGATCTAGTTGAAGAAAGAGAGAGAGAAAGAACGATAGATGAATAGAAAGAGATCGTTACTTGGATGAATGGATAGATAAAAAAAACGACAGATAGAGAGAGAGATAAATAACTTAGGATAGATGATAGAGATGAACATGGAGGATGGATAGAGAGATGAGAGGAAGATAGAAGTAACAGAAAGGGATAGAAAGAGAAATAGAGACAGTTGAAGAATGTGAAAGGACGAGTGTAAGGAAGACATAAACCGGACAGATCGTTTGGGAGATGGAAAAAGAGAGAGAGATAGCCTGAATGGATGGATAGAGAGGGAGAGATAGAGAGAGATAGACAGATGTGAGAATGTGTGAGTTTGAGATAAATAGATGGATAAAAAACAGACAAACACTTGGACAGAGAGAGATACAGAACATACGGACGTACTGTAGGAAGAGAAAGATGGACAGATGGATATAAAAAAAAGGGACACAGATACTCGACATTTACTTTGAAAGAGAGAGAAAGAGAGAGAGAGATGAATAGATGCATGTATACAGAGACAGATCTAAAGAGAGTAATCTGAACTCACTGTAGACTCGCTACAGATGGATAAAAAGAAAGATAGAAAGAAAGAGACAGATATTTTGGAAGGTGGAAGAATAGAGAGAGAGAGAGATAGTAAATAGTAGAAAGATAAATAGATAGAGAGAGAGAGAGAGAGAGATAGAGAGACAAAGAGAGAAAAATTGATAGATAGAGAAAGAGAGGGAGATGAATAGATGCATGTATAGAGAGAGAGATGTAGAGAGAGTAATCTGAACCTACTGTAGGGAGCGAGAGAGAGAAAGAAAGACAGAATGACAAAAACATAGTTTCTTTGATAGAGAGAGAGAGAGAAAAGAGAGAGAGAAAAGTGAGAGAGAAAAGAGAGAGAGAGAGAAGTCTGAACCTACTGTAGGGAGGGAGAAATGGATAAAAAGAAAAATAGAAATAAAGAGACATAGGTATTTTGGTAGGTGTAGGAATAGATAGAGAGAGAGAGAGAAAGTGTAGAAAGATAAGTAGATAGATAGATTGATAGAGAAATAGAGAGACAAAGAGAAAATTTGATGGAGAAAGAGAGAGAGATGGATAGATAGAAAGAAAGAGACAGTTACTTTGATAGGTGGATGGATAGACAGACAGACAGACAAAGAGATAGAGAGATGAATAGATGAATGAATAGAGACAGATCTAGAGAGAACCTACTATAGGGAGGGAGAGATGGATAGATAAAAAGGAGGAAAGAGACAGACACTTTCTTTGATAGGTGGATGGATAGATAGATAGAGAGACAGATAGAGAGAGATAGACAGAGAGAGAGCTAGATAGAGATAGAGAGAGATAGAGAAAGATAGATTGAAAAAAACATAGACAGTTACTTTGACAGGTGAATAGATAGAGAGATAGACAGACAAATAAAGAGAGAGAGAGATGAATAGATGCGTGTATACAGAGACAGAGAGAAAGAGAGTAATCTGAACTCACTGCAAGGAGCGAGAGATGGATAAAAAGAAAGAAACATAGACAGTTACTTTGACACACAGATAAACAGACACAGATAGAGAGAGAGAGTGAATAAATGCAAGAGAAAGAGAGTATTCTGAACTTACTGTAGGGAGGGAATAGATAGAAAGAGATATAGAGAGTTAATTTGATAAGTGAATAGATAGACATTAATAGATACATGTATAGAGAGAGATCTGAACTTACTGTAGGGAGGGAGATGGATGGATGGATAGAGAGAGAGATAGATGGATGGATAGATGGATGGACTTGAACTTACTGTATTCAAAGAGCATGTGCACGGTGTGGAAAGGAGCCCAGCACACAGTGAACAGAAGGACGATAGTGATCATCATTTTAACGGCTCTCTTCTTCTTCCTGTCAAAAGAAAACACACATTCAAGATAACTCACGATAACTCAAACTAACTCAAGATAACTCAAACTAACTCACGATAACTCAAACTAACTCACGATAACTCAAATTAACTCACGATAACTCAAATTAACTCACGATAACTCAAATTAACTCACGATAACTCAAATTAACTCACGATACCTCAAACTAACTCACGATAACTCGAATTAACTCACGATAACTCAAACTAACTCACGATAACTCAAATTAACTCACGATAACTCAAACTAACTCAAGATAACTCAAATTAACTCACGATAACTCAAACTAAAACTCAAGATAACTCAAACTAACTCAAGATAACTCACGATAACTCAAACTAACTCAAGATAACTCAAACTAACTCAAGATAACTCAAACTAACTCACGATAACTCAAACTAACTCACGATAACTCGAATTAACTCACGATAACTCAAACTAACTCAAGATAACTCAAATTAACTCACGATAACTCAAACTAACTCAAGATAACTCAAACTAACTCACGATAACTCAAACTAACTCAAGATAACTCAAACTAACTCAAGATAACTCAAACTAACTCACGATAACTCAAACTAACTCAAGATAACTCAAACTAACTCAAGATAACTCAAACTAACTCAAGATAACTCAAACTAACTCACGATAACTCAAACTAACTCAAGATAACTCAAATTAACTCAAGATAACTCAAACTAACTCAAGATAACTCAAACTAACTCAAGATAACTCAAACTAACTCACGATAACTCAAATTAACTCAAGATAACTCAAATTAACTCAAGATAACTCAAACTAACTCAAGATAACTCAAATTAACTCAAGATAACTCAAATTAACTCACGATAACTCAAATTAACTCAAGATAACTCAAATTAACTCAAGATAACTCAAACTAACTCAAGATAACTCAAACTAACTCAAGATAACTCAAACTAACTCAAGATAACTCAAATTAACTCAAATAACTCAACTCAAATTAACTCAAGATAACTCAAATAACTCAAATAACTCAAGATTAACTCAAGATAACTCAAATTAACTCACGATAACTCAAATTAACTCAAGATAACTCAAATTAACTCAAGATAACTCAAACTAACTCAATACTCAAACTAACTCAAGATAACTCAAACTAAACTCAAGATAACTCAAATTAACTCAAGATAACTCAAGATAACTCAAATTAACTCAAGATAACTCAAATTAACTCAAGATAACTCAAACTAACTCAAATAACTCAAATAACTCAAACTCTCAAATAACTCAAATTAACTCAAGATAACTCAAACTCAAATAACTCAAGATAACTCAAATTAACTCAAGATAACTCAAATTAACTCAAGATAACTCACTCAAATTAACTCAAGATAACTCAAATAACTCAAGATAACTCAAATTAACTCAAGATAACTCAAATTAACTCAAGATAACTCAAATTAACTCAAGATAACTCAAATTAACTCAAGATAAACTCAAATTAACTCAAGATAACTCAAAAATAACTCAAATAACTCAAATTAACTCAAGATAACTCAAACTCAAACTAACTCAAGATAACTCAAATAACTCAAATAACTCAAGATAACTCAAATTAACTCAAGATAACTCAAGATAACTCAAATCAAATTAACTCACGATAACTCAAATTAACTCAAGATAACTCAAACTAACTCAAGATAACTCAAACTAACTCAAGATAACTCAAACTAACTCAAGATAACTCAAACTAACTCAAGATAACTCAAATTAACTCACGATAACTCAAATTAACTCACGATAACTCAAATAACTCAAGATAACTCAAACTAACTCAAGATAACTCAAATTAACTCAAGATAACTCAAATTAACTCAACTCACGATAACTCAAATTAACTCAAGATAACTCAAACTCAACTCAAATAACTCAAGATAACTCAAACTAACTCACGATAACTCAAACTAACTCACGATAACTCAAATTAACTCACGATAACTCAAATCTAACTCACGATAACTCAAACTAACTCAAGATAACTCAAATTAACTCACGATAACTCAAATTAACTCAAGATAACTCAAATAACTCAACTCAAGATAACTCAAACTAACTCACGATAACTCAACTCAAATCAACTAACTCAAGATAACTCAAACTAACTAACTCACGATAACTCAAATTAACTCAAGATAACTCAAACTAACTCAAGATACCTCAAACTAACTCACGATAACTCAAATTAACTCACGATAACTCAAACTAACTCACGATAACTCAAACTAACTCAAGATAACTCAAATTAACTCACGATAACTCAAACTAACTCACGATAACTCAAACTAACTCAAGATAACTCAAATTAACTCAAGATAACTCAAACTAACTCAAGATAACTCAAATTAACTCACGATAACTCAAATTAACTCAAGATAACTCAAATAACTCAAAACTAACTCAAGATAACTCAACTCAAATAACTAAACTCACGATAACTCAAATTAACTCAAGATAACTCAAACTAACTCACGATACCTCAAACTAACTCAAGATAACTCAAATTAACTCACGATAACTCAAATTAACTCACGATAACTCAAATTAACTCAAGATAACTCAAATTAACTCAAACTCAATAACTCAACTCAAGATAACTCAAATTAACTCACGATAACTCAAATTAACTCACGATAACTCAAACTAACTCACGATACCTCAAACTAACTCAAGATAACTCAAATTAACTCACGATAACTCAAATTAACTCAAGATAACTCAAACTAACTCAAGATAACTCAAACTAACTCATGATAACTCAAACTAACTCAAGCTAAGGCTCCTGGATTTTTCATTTATTTGTTTATTTATTTATTTATTTTTGCGGGAATTTGCGTCCACACAAGTGGACAAGTGGATAAATATTCACGTCCAGACGACAACAGAGCAGTGAGTGAAAATGATGTAATACATACACCACACCTGTATGTGGCGCTGTTAACAATGATAATAATATTTAATAATTCATATCTCATCACCATTTTTTTTTACTTTAAGGTAATTTATCCTATTTTCGATGTATCCCAGAAATATCGCCACTACAAAACATAAGTTTTCATTTTTAGACATATGATTTGGATGAGAATTGTGAGAATAACTTGGTCTCAAAATCCAACAGTTTAATAGTTTAACCCGTGCATAATCTTTGTTATTGATCCATGTGTGTAATTTGCTCAGAGTGTGTTGTTGCAGTGTGTCTCGGTTGCTCGGCGACGGGAGCGGCTCTGTAGGCTACACCTGTCACATTTCTGGCAACGGTCTTGTGTTCTGCGGAGGCCCCTGCCGATGACGGGGTCGCGACGTCATTGTTTTCCGAAAGCTGCGGTTTGCTTGTCCACATGACAATGCATCGCCAGCATTCTCACATTTCTGCACTCTGGAACCCGTTCTCAAAAAACACAATTTTTGCCCACCCAAAACGCCGGCTCTGTGTGCAGTATTTTCCGCACTATTAGTCGCTCTGGATTATAAGACACACTGTCAGTAAAAGGGCTATTTTCGTACTTTTTCACAAATAAACTGCACCGGACTTTAAAGGAAACACAACAGTGTGATGGGTCAGTGGGACTTTGTTTGGTGCGTTCACGGTGACTCTGGGCTTTGTTCAGTTGTGGCTCATCATCCGCCCGCTACACATTTGCACCCAAGGTTTTGTCCAATTTTCAAAGCTGCACTCACCCGCCATCTGCCGATTGATTTTAGATTTTAGAACAATCATACAGCAAACAAACTAATTTATAGTCATTAAATGGTCTATTTTTGAACTTTTTTCACAAATAAACCGCACTGGACTTTAAATGAAACCCAACAGTGTGATGGGTGAGTGGTTTTGTTTGTTTGTTCGTTCACGGTGACTCTGGGCTTTGTTCAGTTGTGGCGTGTAGGGAGGTGCTGTCTGGGACCAACGGATTGTCGGCGTGTTCGCAGTGACTCAGTTGTTCAGTCGTGTCTAGAAGTGACACGTTGCGCTCGCTTTTTTCGGTTCGTTCCTCCGTTCTGTTCCTCGTCGGCGTGGAGTGATGAGTGTGTCTGTGGGTGTTTCTCGCTGTGCGGTCTCTGTCTGCTCCGTGTGTGTTTGTGTGTTCTGTGGGTGGTGCGGCTTTGTAGTTTACTGAAGTCGTGCTGGGACACTCGAGTGGATTCGTGTATCGGGCGCTCTGGATTGTGGGACGCGCAGTCGTTTTTTGATAGGGTTGGCAGCTTAAAAGCGCGACTAATAGCCCGGAAAATACGGTACAAACTTACTAACTCACATTAACTCAAGATAAGATAAGGTAAGTTAATAAATAAATGCAAAATATGTTTAATGCCATACTGTGGAACATTCTAGGTAAACAGTAAAGTCTCTCGTGGTCACAGAGGAAAGGTACACGGTGCATCTTTAAAACAGAAAAATCCTGTTGTTGTAAAGTGTTTCCAAAGTGTGAGCTGTGTTTCTTTTAAAACCATTTCTGTCAGCAGCTTTGCACCGCTAAAAGTCTATGATCTCTACTTTTTTATGTATTTATTAATTTTTTTCTGAATCAATATGAACTATCCTTTAAACGCCTGGTAGCTTTTCTTCAGGTCACAAAGTAAAAATCGATATAACTCTGGTGCAGTTTTTCAGTAGAGGAGCTGGGTTCAAAACACGACTCCGGGTTTGTTTTTGAGGAGGTAACGCGCCTTAAAGTCCATTTTACTTCATATAAAACCCTGAGAACGAACCAATCAGATTAACATTTGAATAAAACACAGAATAATACAAAAAACATTATGTAATCACTCTGCTTTTATGGAAATGTACGCTCTCCTGTACAGTTCTCAGAAATTGCATGCGTTATGATTTCAGCTCGACCTTTAAAGAATTTCTGAGAATGCAAAGTTAAAGAAGAGTGGGCAGGTTATGATGAATATGAGTTTCTATATGAAACTGTAATTATGTTTGGTCCAATCTTAACGTCTTCTAAAGTAGGACAGAAAGTTACTGAATGTCTAATCTTCACTTTTTATTTGTACTTGTACTTGTATTTTACTTTACGGCGAATACATCACATTTTTAGATGGCCATGTTACCTTTTATTGTTTTGAAAATGCTGTATTCACTGAAAATAATGTATTAACATGTTTTATAACTATTACTTTGGTTTTTGGTGCTCTGAATCTGCCCTCACTTCACTCATTTTCAGTGCATAAACAGAAGTTTCCAACCTGTAGCTCTGGAGCAAACTGTTAGTCAGGCTGGCGCCACCTAGTGCCTCCGCTCAATTTCATTTCTCTCCAGTGACTAGGTCAGGAATCAGAATACACTAGACGGTTCGCAAAACCATGTCAAGTGACATAGTCTAATAATTACAGGCTAAGGCCTCCGAGGAGGGGGGTCAAACTTTATTTTCAGACTTCCAGAGGCTTCAGCCTGACCGTTTTACTGTTGTTTTACTTCTGTTTGGAAAAAAACATGTACTGGTACATTTAACCCTCACACTCTCCTCGTTGTCACATTGACCCGAAGACATTTTTTTTCCCTTCCCGCTCTCTTGGGGCGGGTCAGTCAAACCCAAAAATTTATTTTCAAATAAATTCTCGCCAGGCGAGAAAATACATTTTTGGGTCTGACTGACTTGCCCCAAAAAAACAAAAACAAAAAAAACGGATCGATGTGACCCCGAGCAGAGCGTGAGGGTAACAAATATATGTCTGTGTAAATATCTCAAGTTACAACATGGATGCCTATATTTGTACTTTTTTTTTTCTTTTAAAAATTAGTGGCTTATATTCAGGTGCGCCCAGTGGTCCAGAAATTACATTCATGAATCTTATATTTAATATAGAACTGACTCCAAACTCACTCCTATAACTGCCAGCCTCAGTGAGCTTCATTTGCCTAGAGCTGGACGTTATCACACCCCCTCAGTCCACGTCTTTATTCAGTCTATGGTCTACATTCAGTCTTTTCCATTCTTCTTACCCTGATATCTTGTTGATCTCCCTCAGGTTCATGGTGTTGAGGACGGAGGAGTCGCCGACGCGTTTGTGGATCCAGAGCTCGATCCCGATTCTCGTGTAAAGGAACAGCATCGTGAGCAGAGGCAGGAGGAACAGCGCCACCATGATGAACGTGGTGTACGCCTGCCGGTGCGTCAGCGAGCGCCAACTCTCCTGACAGCACACGTGGTAATGATCGTACAGGAAATCATACTTCACCTAAAACACACAGAACAGGTTTAATGACTATTTAAAGGTGCATTGTGTGTGTTTATATGATGATGGTCTGAAGAGAAGACGCAAAAGTGGCGTCGCATCTCCACTTTTTATTCCGCGTTTAGACGAGTGTTTTCGGGAGGAAATCTGTGTGCATACGGTGACGGAAAGTGTGTGAAATTCAACTGTGTATGCACGCCATCCGACATGTTTGTTTCTGTGTACTGTATGTATGTGATTGGCAGAGCGTATTCAACTTTTCCACTCTGGAGGGTGGTTTCATATTTTTGAGTTTTAAAGTTTTTTTTTTTAAGTTTTTGAGTTTTTAAATATTTTGCCGTTTTTACCCAAAAGCGTTTTTGTGTAAACAGACAAACTTTGATGTGTCTCTATCTGCAGGTTGAGGCTCTGGAGACACAGTTGTGTTTGTAATATATTTTTTAGACCAATAAGAGTGCAGCCTACATAAAGAACCTTTAAATAATGTTTGAAATCGCATGTACAGGGTTCCCACTCTTTTTCACAGACAAAATTTCACAACTTTTCCATGACTTTTTCATGATCTAAAGTGAATTTTCCATGACTTTACGGCACCTACATGTGTAGAATTGATCAGACTTTTAGGGCTAAAAATCTTAACTCTTTCCACTCACCTTATGGTTTGGTTTTATAGTTTTTTAACATTCAAAATCCTGTCAGTGCATTTATTGTCGTCTCTTTTAAACAAAAGGCGCAAACATTTGGAAATAATCATAACAGCCTCATGAGAACTTAACAGAACGCTGTAGTTGCCAGAAAGAGATACTAAATCATTGAATCTTTCATTAAATTCCAGGACTTTTCCAGGCTTGAAAAATTACATTTTCAATTTCCATGACTTTTCTAGGATTTCCATGACCGTGGGAACCCTGCATGCAAGAAAAACTAATAACAATTTTGTATCAGCTAAATGTTCTGTAGATTTATTTGTATTTATTAGCACGCTGTTTCTCATTTTTTCTAGTCAAAATAAACATTGCTCTAAATATATTCTTTTTCTAGTCCCAGTTTATGCAGTATTGATCACTTCCCTGGACTTTAAACCACAGGGACACTCCCGCTCCACATCGATCCGTGTATTCAAATGTTTACAGCCTTTTCTCTCATCTGTACTGTTACTCTATCAGAATATGTATTTAACGGACCAAAAAATCTATAGAAATTATAATAAACGAAAATGTCCACTCACCTCCAGCTGCTGCACGAACAACATGGGCGACCCCACGATCACAGAGACGATCCACACCAGGCCTGCAGGGGGCAGAGTGCACAACATCAGTACAGCACATTTACAGTATATGTAAAGGTTGCGCTCACATTACATCATATTTTAGACTCCCTGTAGTTTAACACCGAGCTGGAGGACAGGCCACACTTCTGAGGTGTTTAATTTATCTGACTAAAGTCTCTGTAATTCTTAGGCCTTACTGTTGTCACGATACTAAAACTTCAACTACTAAGGAACAGGCTCAATTAGGGATGGGCAGGATTAGTCGATTAATTGATAATTGATCATTAAGAATTTCATCGATTACGTTCATTTTAATCGACAGACTGAATGTAGGTTGCTGTGTGCGTAGCGTAGAGCGACCAAACAGGTCTGTACATGTGTCTCTGCACTCAGAAGGAGCGAGCAAACACAAACATTCGGTCAGTCTGCAACGTACTGAAGTGCAAATGCGAACGATGTGCAACGATGACTTGTACAAGAAAATCCACGCTTTCCGTTCCGGTCGGGACAAGTGTGAGTCCATGTGCACAGTGTATAAAGCAGAACATATGTTTCAGTGTCCAGTGGGAAAAAGTTTTACCAGGTGAGAGTCGCTCAATGTCGATGACGAGTCCCCACCTCCCTCCCCCCGTACGCTGTCCTGGTTTTGACAAACACAAATCTGGTCACACTAACCTGTATTCACCTGAGTCATGTCTTTTAATCCAACAGAAACTGACCACATCAGCGACACAAGAGCTGTAGTTTTATCTTCGTTGAGTTTATGAAAATTAGCGATGCAGTTTTAAGTTTTGTTTCTGTGAGAGTTTCACAAATCTGCATTAAACACATTATAATGTCAAACGGGCTGATGTGGCTCTAGAGTCGTTATGGTTTATATGTCGTAAAGTTGAATTTATTTATGCAGATTAGTAGTGCAGATAGTAATAATAATGATGATCATTTTAATATAAAAACGTTAATGATTCATCGATAATCGATTGTTAATTCTTCCGACGATCGATTAAGAAAATTTCATCGAATGCCCATCCCTAGGCTCAATACTGATACTGATACCAATACTACAATTATAATTTTTTTAAAAATGCAACCCTGCCAGGTCTATCCACATGAAACTAAAAAGCTACATTCCCTCTCAGTGATCAAAAAAAAGGTGTTAAAGGTGCACTGTGTTGGCCTGATTCATCAGCCGGTTTCACTTCGTAGAAACCGTCTGACCTCGCAGTGTTAGAATTCGTAGGTGGGTACAGTTTATCATTTAAACAATCGCTGCTATTTAGTCGTGACGTATGTAATGCACCAGATCCCGTTAGAAGAGGGACAATAACGTCTTTCCCCTTGATAAAATTCACTTGGAGAATTGTCTCATCACGCTTTACATCTGTGGGCTGAGGAGGAGAAGGAGGAAGAAGATAAACTGAGTGTGAGGCTGTTCTACCTCAGCCCACATCCCATATCGCTCACAAATCCAAAGAGACGTGGATGAAAGTCCAAAGCCAGGACTGGTGGAGCCGGATCATGGGGATCACGTCAGAATGGCGACACAACGAGCATGCCCAACTTATTTTTAAGAAGAATAAACGTTTACTAGCCTGATTCATCAGCCGGTTTCACTTTGTGGAAACTGTCTGACCTCACAGTGTTAGGATTCGTTCGCTCGACAGTAGGTGGGTACATTTTTTATTTAACCAATCACTGCTATTTGGTCCTGACGTATGTAATGCACCACTAACGGGGTTAACTGGTATATTAAGCTTTTCCCAAATCCCGTAGTACGAAGGACAATAACGTCTTTCCCTTTGATGAAATTCACCAAACATTCTCTTTGTTCCGGTTTTAAATCCTCGAGCTCAGGAATTGTTGCCAACACAGAATATACGGCTCTTCGCTGATTGCCTGGTGTCCGAACTCGTACTTCCGGGTTTTTGCGAACCGTCTAGTGCAGGTATGTCCAAACTATGGCCTGTGGGCCAAATGCGGCCCTCAGACAAATTTTTCTTGGCCATCAGGCTTCCAGGAGAATTGGCCCAAATTACCTTGCAAATGACCTTTTTACTGCAAGTTTTTTGAAAATCAACCTGGATAAAGCTCATATTGAATATTTAGTGTTTGGTTTTAAGGATCTTAATGTGAATAAAGACCGATGACTCATTCTAACGTGTTAAACATGCACATAGTTCAATTATTCACTGTACTGAGCACCAGTCTACGGTCCTCGATCGGCCCTTTGCTTTGTCTGTGTTTAGAAATGTGGCTCTTGATGAAAAAAGTTTGGACACCCCTGGTTTAGTTTATTCTGATTCCTGATCTAGTCGCTGGAGAGAAATGAAATTGAGCAGAGGCACACGGTGGCGCCAGCCTGACTATCACTGTGTAACTTTTTGGTTGGAACATTCTGCCTGGAATGTTCCACAGTGTGACATTAAACAGCTCTACTTTACATTTATTCAATTATAAGTGGTTTTACAGCTCAAAAATACCAAGAAAAACAGGTATTCTGATTATTTTGGTCAATACTGAAATCACAATTATTTGAAAGATTATTTTTTTTGTTACACAATGCATTTATTCAGCATTTCTCGCTTTCTCTCAAAACAAACAACAACACTTTATTATTGATAATTTACGCAAAACTTTCAAATTGAAAATAAATACAGGCAACAAATATGAACCTTAGAGCAGTTTTGCGATGTATAAAACATAAAATTACATAAAATACACTTTGAACATGAAATAAGGCAAAGAAAAAAAAAAAATTATCCAAAATAAACTATATATCCAGCTGTTCTACAATCTCTATATCTAAAAAATAAAATAAATATACTTCATTATATAAAAAATATCCAGAAATAAACTTTGCTAAGCTTCGTTTCAACTAGATCACATGAGTTTGGAGATCGTTTGACACGCAAATCGAAATCACAATCAAAATTCGCTTAATTGCAGACTTATTTTAAATATTAAAACACACAGGGGCAGCTAAGATTGAATATATTAATAACTACGACAAAAAATAGTGAACAGAATGAGTGATATAAACAAAAACAAACAAAATGCCATGTCTTTTTGTCCATGTCCATGTTGTTCACTTTGACAGTCATGATAATATTTTAATGTATCACTTCTTGAGATTAAATTTGTACCATCGTTGCGTCTTGCTCCTACAATTAAATAAATGCGAGATATATTTGTTTAATGTCATACCGTAACATCACCATGGAGACAAGCAGGAGACACAACCCTCCACCGGAAAAGATGTACAGTGCACCTTTTACGTTGAATATTTCTTTCAAAAACACTGAATCTTCCGTTGATTTATCCAGGCCGGTGTCTATTTCTATCTTTGTCTGAAAATAAAACATGGTCTAATTCAACAATATGCATTCAGTCTATTTGCAGAACGAAGCGAGACGTATTGGGGCTAATGCTAACAGCTCGCGCTATAACCCCCGCGCAATTAGCGTCACGTCGTCGTTAAATACACGTCCATCAAACCGGAGTGGATTTCAAGCGTGAGCCCCCAGCTGTGAGCGAGACGTGGGGCCTATAGAACATATACGGGGACGAGGGGAGAAAATTACACGCACTTCGAAGCGGAAAACCTCCCCGGAAATGTATAGACTTAAAAAGCGTCCGCGATTACTGCAGGGAGAGCGTTACCAACAAAGTGCGCTCGTTCCAAAGACCTAATTTTCAAGAAGTTACGAGTTTAAAAGGATTAACGGAGAATGTTGTGTTATTTTTCTGATCGAAGTTACGTTTCCTCGTCGCAAACAAACCCGGAGTTGTGAATGCAAAGTAGGAAGAAACTGAGGCACTCAAAAAGTACAAAATAATAAGAGACCGGTCCCTACACTGAAGAGCAGCAAAAGGACAATTCTGCACCTTTTTGTATATCCAAGTAGCATCCTGCATCCCAAAACCCGGAGTTGTGTTTTGTTTCTTTGTTTCATTCACACGTTTAACACACAAACCCTGCAAATTTAGACTGAGTTCTTGTCCCAAATATGAAAAATGACACAATTTTTTTACTTAAATCAATTTAATAAACCAGGAAAAACAGAAACCATGAGCTCCTTTAGCGTCAGAAGCTCGGGAGGTTTAACCAGCGTGAGGATCCATGAGATCTCCCACAATCCACTGCACAGATCAAACCCAACAGATTCGAAACTTAAACTTAAATTAAAACTTCATGACATCACTAGGTGGAATAGAACATTTGGAGATGGAGACAAGTCTGTCTAGTCACTAGACACACTATTATTACCTCCGCCAAGGAGGTTATGTTTTGCCGGCGTTTGTTTGTCTGTTTGTCTGTTTGTTTGTTTGTTTGTTTGTCTGTTTGTTTGTTTGTCTCTTTGTTTGTTTGTTTGTCTGTTAGCAACATAACTCAAAAAGTTATGGACCGATTTTTATGAAATTTTCAGGATTTGTTGGAAATGTGAAAAGGAAGAACTGATTTCATTTTGGGGGTGATCCGGAAGAAATCCTGGATTCTGGATCACTTTGAAATTTTAATTAACATTGTGTTAAATGGGGCCAAAAATTTTGTTTCTCAATGTCTCGGTTAATTATTGACCAAACCCCATGAAATTTGACTCAGGGATGGACAATCGGATCCTCTTTCATATTCCAAATTGAAAGATACCAGACAAATATTTATGGAAAACACAATTAATATGAGGGGGACTGTAGTCCTTGGCGGAGGTCTGCGCTCTCTGACTGCTTTTCTAGTTTCCAGAGTATTTCCTGAGGTGAGGAGTATTGTCAGTGTCTGCACACTGTCGATTGTCTGTCTGATTTTAGGCCTCAGACTTAAAAGTCGTTGGTGCATCCAAAACTGGCGCACAGGCTGATGACGCGGCGCAAAGAATTATGGTCCATGTAGTTTACTGTGTTATGCACCACAGGAGCAGATTGAAAATTCTTATTTTGCCAAAAGACACAGTTTAATACCGTGACGAGACCACAACAATATCGTGATATCGCCAATATTGTTACATCCCTGGTACTGAACAAT